ACTAACCTAATCTAGAATCTTCAAGTGTATTTGTTTAAAGCTTGCAATGTATAAGACAACCTAATGCACTAGGTACTATTATGTTTTACAACTTGTAGACTTTTAATAAAGCATAATTTAACAGTCATCAAGCAAAAGATAGTAACTCTGTGTCACAAGTTCATTGATGCCTTTCTCTCTGTAATGAGTGGCTGCCTTGTCCAAATATGTGTGTTGAGACAAGTAACATGAAGAGACAAAGAGGAAAGAAAGATTTTGTGTTGTACTCATAGATGGTCATTTAGTTATTGAATCTATGAATAAGTGCATATGATCGTCTTTTTTGTTGTCGTTTTCTTGTTGCTTTACTGAGTTTCAAAGAAACAAACATAAATCATAAAGTCACCATACAACATTGAGGTAACCACAATTTTCTCTCAAGGTGGCATCTCTCGTGACGAGAACAACTTGATAATCATAGCTGCATATTAAATTCCATCCATTTCCACTCAACAAATCCATTAATAAGTCCTTTTGTCTCCCAAGAAGTAATAATCTGGTCTAAGAAAAATTGAACAAAAATACCATCATCGTCATATGATTTATAGGAGGAAACTTTGCTGGTGATGATAGACTGAAGATTATGTCATCAATGTCAGAAATACTGACAATAGAAGAACATATGACAAACAAGGTTGCACTATCTTAATAAGTGAATTCTAGAATCAGAACCATAAGATCTCCCAGACTGAGTTCGGAGAAGATTTTATGTCTGAGCTACAATTGCTCTGTCTCTAAAATTGTATCTGTCTCTTTCCTGCTGCTATCTATGTTACATGGAATCATTTATGGGTACGTCTACTTTATGTCACAAAGTCGGGTGTGACATGGGTATAGGTGCTTCGTGCAGAGTTTTCAAATTAAATTACAATAAAAATTGATGTGAAAATAAATATGGATCCATGTAACATTATGTGCAATTGGGGTCCAATGCATTAAGTTGGACTTGATCTTCAAACGTGAAAGGATCAGGCTTCACTTTTTGATGTCATGCTCTGGTTTGTCATAACATTTTGAAATACTTCAAGAGTGCATTTCCAAGATGATGGTGCATCAGCCATTTTCTTCATAAAAGCTGCTGTATCTTCTTAAAATGCTAAGATCAGCTAATCTTGATCTTGTTAGATTGGAGCGTCCAAGCAATTGTAAGCTGGGTACTGTCCGAGGCTTATGGCAGTAACGTCTCTATTGTTGCTGAGGAAGACGTGGAAGCTCTTTCCAAGGCTAGCGCAACGGGCCTCTTAGAAGCAGTAGTAAGAACTGTGAATGAGTGTCTAGCCGATGCACCTCGTTTTGGACTGAAAGGTCCTGATACTGATCTGGATGCTAAAGCTGTTCTTGAGGCCATAAGTCGTTGCAGCTTGGCAGGTGCCAGAGGTAGCAAGTTTTGGGTACTGGATCCTGTTGATGGCACGTTGGGTTTTGTACGTGGAGATCAATACGCTATTGCTTTGGCATTGATCAAAGACGGAGAACCTGTGCTTGGGGTTCTCGGGTGTCCAAATTATCCTATGAAGAAGGAATGGCTTAGTTATCAAAATGGTTATAGGAGAATCTTATCTAGGTTGACCCCCTCTACATCTGAATCTTCGGATAGAGGTTCTGTACTTTATGCAAGGAAAGGTGGTGGCAAGGCTTGGATGCAACCGTTACTGCACGGAGAAAATAAATTTGTGTGGCCGAACTCTGCAAGGGAAATTAGAGTATCCTCCATCGATAACCCAGCACTAGCTACCTTTTGTGAACCAGTTGAGAAGGCAAATTCAAGCCATTCATTCACAGCAGGACTGGCTCATAGTGTTGGACTTCGGTAAATATCTCTCACAATTCCCTCTCATATTCCACAACTGCTCTTCCTATAACGTGTGTAACTTTCAAGATGCTGTATTTACGATGGCTTACTAGTTGTCTTAGCATTTAGAATCTATTTCCGGTTATGCTTGACAGCTACAAATTCTGAAAATTACTCTGCAATCTCTAGTAAAATATTGATGCAATCAGATTCTTTTAAAGCTCGGCTGACAACATATCAACTGCAGGAACCAGCCATTACGTGTATATAGCATGGTCAAGTATGCAGCCATAGCCCGCGGAGATGCTGAGATATACATGAAATTTGCAAGGGCTGGTTACAAGGAGAAAATATGGGATCATGCAGCTGGTGTTCTTATCATTGAAGAAGCCGGTGGAGTGGTGACCGATGCAGGAGGGCAACCACTAGACTTCTCAAAAGGCGAATACTTAGAAGGACTTGATCGCGGTATAATTGCTTGCGCTGGAGCCAAACTGCACGAAACGATCATCGGGGCTGTAGATGCTAGCTGGAACTCCTCTAGCCTTTAACCTACTGTATGTTACTCAAAATTTTCAGCCTAAAATGTGATCAAATGATGTGCATAGGACCATCTATGTTGCAAATATGAATAAATGATAGTACTAGGCATTATACTGCAACTGTGGGTACTGATTTTTTATTTTTATTTTTAATTTCCTACCCGCTGTCCGGTACCCTATTGGAGTCCGATTAAATCGGGATTTATGGCGCTGGCAAGTACAGGGTACTGATTTATTGCACTATGCTGGGAGCCAAAATTGAAAAAAAATGTCTAGCATCAGCATGTGGGAATTTAATTCATTAAAAGAATGCATTAATTGAAATTTGGATATATCATATCACCTAAGTAGACATAGGGAAAATAGGAGTGGCCTGCAAAAGCGAGTGAAATTCAATAGGATGGGTCCAATTTTCTTTTAATGTCTCTGTTTGCCTAAAAAAAATTTTCATGTTCAGTTGGTCAAATACTTTTAAAAATATTACAAATACATTCAAAATAGGAAAATAACTTTTCTAGTTTTTTATTTCCTTTTCTTTATTTTGGTTAAAATTGTTTACCTCTCAAATGAATCTCAACCATATTTTTTTACAAACGCACATGGCAATAAACAACCATTCTATTGACATGTACGGATACTATTAAATGTACCAAGCGTTTAACTACATATTTTAGATCATATTTTAAAAATTATCTTAAAATTTCTATTTGATTAAATTTTGAAATTTAAATTTTTAAATATTTTTAAGTTTCCGTTCAGAGCAGTTTTTGGGACTCCCACTCACAATGTAATATTTTTAACAGTTAAATAGATGTCTAAACACAACTTCAAAAACTTAAATTTTCAAATGTTAACATCAAAATCTATGTTCAAACGGGGTTCAAAGGACAATTTCATGTGAGCTGGCTTTTTTAGCCACAATAAATTCATGCGAGTTTCAAACTAAACCACTGGTGTCTAACGCGTTTTCAACTTTTCTTTTATCTATCTGAATAATAACAGATCGGGGGACAAAATTGTAAAGAATAGTTGACATGAAAGTTATGACTAGAGCTATCAAAAAGGGCCGGCCCAACCCACCCCGTTCAAGCCTCGCAGACCAACGAATTTGAAGGGCTAGGATGTGCTGGCCCTTCATTCAGAAGAGCCTGAAATTGCTCAACCCAATCCACCCCTAGAAGGGCTGAGGGCTTGGGCGGGCTAGCCCTTTTTTTTTTCTTTTCAAACTTATAATTCTATAATATCAAGAAAATGAGAAGATTTTCAAATCAAATATGGCAAACGATGGTGTTGTTGTAATAACACTAGCAAAAAGTCTAGTGTAGTTAGCATGTATCTCGCATACCAAATACACAAGCGAGATACGAGAGTGATAAGTAAGATTGGAGGGAGCGAGGACGCGAAATTTGTCTATGCATCCTAGATACATGTGAATCTACTTGGATAGAGTGTATCTAGAACATATTAACCTAATTTTGAGTTCATATATTCCGAGATACATGTATCTGGACGTACCAAAATCTGGTAAGATTCATAATATTACAACATAACGTGTATTAAAGTAATTAGATTATATACTAGTGAGATTATGGTAAGTTACCCTTAATTAAAAAGTTTTGGCCCATGGGCAGACCCCGGCCCGACCTCAATCAAGCCTCAAGGGCCAGGGACTTATATGGAGCGGGCTTATAAGCCCTAGTTTTAAATGGGCTTGAAATTTTTTATCTCAACCTAACCCATATAACGAGTTGAGTTGGGCCGACCCCATGGGCTAAGCCCATTTTGATGGCTCTAATTATGACTTATGATATATAGAGAATTAATCCACTGCTTGTACTTATGGGTGTACATGAAGTGGTTTAGTTCGATTTTTATTAAAAATCAAACCAAATTAATTATATCGATTTTTTGGTTACACAAATACTATTTCAAACTTTATTTTTTCAAGTATAGATAAAAATATTTATTTATTTTGTCGATTTATTTGACTTTTCAGTTTGGTACGATTTCTCTATTTGATTTGTACCACCTAACTTGTATCATCACCTTTATTAATTTGTATCTATTAATGTAAAAATTAATTCTCTGCTTCCTAGGGCTCATTAAGGCAGCACCTATCTACCATCCCTACATGCCTAATTTATAGAATTATAGTCCACCCTACTATGTCCATTTATGTTTTTTCGAGTTTAACTATCTAATATTTGAAACTATTTGATTAATTTGAATTCAAGTTGAGTAAACTCATATGGGGTAATTAACACATTTTATTAAAAGTGAATTATTTTCAAAATTCAAAATCATTAGTCAAAGTATATATTAATTCTTAACTATCTTGTCACACATTCTCAATGATAAGTCCTTTACACTTATATAAATATGTACACATGTTTAGGGGTAAAACAAAAAAGGATTTGTTTGAACCGCTTTGTTGAATATGTAGATGTTGAATGATTCTTATGTAAATTCTGTCTCTATGTGGTACATGTTGACGCATTAATATCACTAATTAAAAAGGAAAATATCTAGATATATCTAATATAACCATGTATACTATAGTGTAATAAATTGCACCCACCCTATTCTAATTATATAAAGTCTTCATAAAAGTGTGCCAACTACCATCTACTTATAACTCTCTTTTCCCATAAATATTACTCATTCTTCTCCTCTCTCTTTCACCTAAAAAACCAAAAAATGAAGAAAATCTCCATTACTACCCTCACTCTCTTAGCTATATTGCTCATCATAACATTCACTTCTACCATTGCTACAAGAAACATCCACCCGAAAAAACACGGGGTTGAAAAACCAAAGAAAGGTGAAACAGGCAATGGCGAAGTCAGAAATAATAATGGAAAAAACAATGGTGATGGGGCTTTTGGTGGGATTTTTGGGCCTGGTGGAGGGTTTAATATTCCTGGGCTTGGTGGTGGAGTATTTGGTGGTGGATTTGGAAGCCCAAAAGGTGGATATGGAAAAAGTGGAGCTGTAAGTTCCAGTGTTGTGTGTAAAGAAAACGGCCCATGTTTGGGTATGAAATTAATATGTCCAGCAAAATGTTATAAAGCATATTCAAGTGCTGGAAAAGGTTATGGTTTTGGTGGTGGATCTGGTGGATGTACTATGGATTGCAAGAAGAAATGTCTTGCTTATTGTTGAAGCAAAAAAATAATAATAGCTAAGTAAGTTATTATATTTATATTACTTATAATATGTGTTGTTTGGTTGTATTTGTTTTGTCATGTGGAACAATATATTATGTTAGCTAAGTTCTACATTATTATGATATAAGTAGTAGAATTAATGATGAAAAATTCATGTTTGGGATTGAGATGTTACTCTATATATATATTGTTGAATCGTCTTGACATGTTATAAGTATAATAATTTAGTGTTTTCTGAATTTTCTTGCTAAAGTTTTCTGGCTCTGCGACTATTCGAAGTACATACCAGTTTAATGCATTTTGAGAATGCTCGTGTGGGAACTTAAAAAGCTATGAATTCTAAATTGTGGACAAATTGATAGATTTGGGTGAATTAAAGATGTGTGTACTCAATTAGTTGGTTACATTTAATAACATTGACTAAGAATTTGAAGAGGTGGAGGGGATATGATTATCAGATTAATACTTCATTAATATGGTACCAGTTTCTTATTAATTGTAAAGTTGTAACCTTATCTTATATCATATCTATAGATGGATTAAGAAGAATTTTTTTATGAAATTAGTAGCGAAGTCATAATTTTCATAAAGAGGAGTAAACAAAAAATTGAAAAGATTTAACATATATATATTAATTCATTCAATTGTATTATTATACATTTTTCCAAGAGAAGAATGTAGGTAAGAAGGCTAAACATATTCTAAAAATAATATTTCAATATTGAGAGTCATTATTGTGTATGTACTATTTGAGTTAATTCACTCTGATGTACCGCGACCTGGTCCCTACTGTCTCCTTTAAAAGTCCTTTATGAGTTTCGAGTCGGTGAATTAAGCTGTAAGAAGACCGTTTCAATTATAACTCAACTCACTATAGATTCTTTCAAATCAATTCATTAAAAGAAGTATGTTTCATTTATATTTGAAAAAAATGTGTGATTTAAGATGAAACATTACAAGAAGTATGACAAAAGATCAATTTAAACATAATATAGATTGTGTCTCTAATAACACAAAGGGATTCTATCTTTTTTTCTAACAGCACTTTGGTCTAAGTAGTCAAATAAAACATACATCATATCATAAAAATAATCACTAAAAACATATGAAAACAAGCAGCATATTTGTGTAATTGAACTAACTACAACATATATGAAAACAAGAAACATCAGCCTTCTCCCAAGAACATTTCTTTCAATTATATTGCTGCTCTAAGGGCGCCTCTAGCAGCTTCTTGCTTCATCTGTGCGGCTTTACCACTTCCTCGGAAATACATGTATACTTGCTGCATTATGAGAGGTGGTCAGATTCCAGGCTAGAGTAAAACGGGAAGTAGAGAAACAGAATATGAGTCTGACCTGGATAACCCAAATGCTCAGCAATGACTCGAGACAAAATAGCCCAAAACCGATGAAGTAGAAAATCTAATAAGGGAAGGACAACAGATTCATGTTAATAACCACAACTTTAATAGCTTCAGTTAAAACTTTCATTAGAGTAGGTTCTCTTCTTTCCATATTTCTTCTTCAAAGGTCAGTCCATCTTAACAAAAAGGCGTAAAAGGTACGATAGAGATACTATGGATTGTGATGAAAATAGTCCTAACTCACCCCAACAAGTACATTTTTGCCGATGAGATCCACCGCAGGCAGGATGCCTCTGTTCCAACAAATAACAGAACATCACATCATTTTAATGGTTAGCTACTTCATCCACACAAAATTGAAAAGCAATAAGCTTTACGAAGGCAGAATTCAGTGTTTTGGTTGAAAGAGAACTATGTAACTACTAGTATGCCAGAAACAGTGGATTTATTTGAGTCATTTCTTTTTTGGAATAAGGTGACAGTGTTGATGTAATTTTACAACTCTTTTTAACAAGTCAAATGCAATATGGAAACTTACGTAAGGGATTTTCCTCTGAAGACTACTGGAGGAGCAACAGCAGCAAAGACGCAGAATACAATGTGAACCTGCAAACAGAGAAAAATCTATGACAGCTGAACATTTGAGTCAGATATCCAAGAAATCTTTGACTTTGTATTTTGTAATATGGACTCAGGTACAGGTATGTACCTGATAGGGAGTAACCTTAACCTACTTGAAAGTTTCTAGAGTATTTTGAAGGATCCTTATGAAGTACCCATTCCCATGTCATTCGCGTTGAGTATATGACAAAACAACAAAGAGACTATATAACATAGACAAAAACAATTGCATAAGGAACTTACCACGTAAAACAAGAAAAACCACGCAAACTTCATGGCACCCTCAGTTCTGTGACCAAATACCTCGATTAGTTGGGGAAGGGGAAAACAAGGCAAAAAAAGAGACAAACAAGGGGATAAACTCATTAGAGGCGTATGCAAAATTTTAAAGAATCAGTTCTCTGCAACACTGACAAAATTTTCGAATTTAATACTTCAGCCATAACAACCAACAAAAAGATCAGTTCTCGCATTTAAAAACTGTTTGATAATTTCTGAAGTAAATCAGCTCAATTCTCTGAAAGACAGATAAGTTTACCTAAAAGCACGATACAGAGGACGATACCACATGAAGTAGGCTCCAGGAACACCCGATATGAAGTAAATAATAGAAAGGAACCAGATCTTTACATCTACAGACAAAAACTAAAGTAAGTACTCTGACTTCATCGGATAAGTAATGGCATGTAGAGGCAGGGGAACATGCCGATTCGATGTACCTCCTTCTTTAATCCACGCTGTAGTGGTAGCTACAATGTTCCATAATAGGCATGCAATAAGTCCTGCTCACAATCAGCATATATCTCATTAGCAAGAGAAAAACAAGAAACTCACATACAGTACAAGATGACAATTCATACTCAAAAAAATTTATTCCAGACAGACAGATCTATCAAGTTATAACGTGCAAAGAATTTTTATTCAACAACCAGAACAATTCACAAGCAAATGCTTGTTTGAGTTGCAATTTTCACGATAAGATTCAGTAACAATGTTGATCGAAAGTGAGTCAGACCATATGGATCCCTCACTTGTCTGCTGGTACAGTAAAGTGTACTGAAATAGAGATAATGGCATTTACAGGAAGATCATTCGAAAAATGCTAGAAATTAGCAAAAACATTTCCCCCACCTCTACCGGACACTTACACTCTTACTGGTATGCACACATTTTTTTAGTCCAAGTTACATGGGAAGGGGGACGAAAAAGAGAAGGATTATCAATTCAAATCTCTGTTTTTCTTTCTATGCAGACTAAACTAGGGTCTTTTTAGTTTCTGCAATATTGTACCTAATTCCTTGAAGGCCTCCAAAAAGGCATTATATGAGGATCTGACTTTTTTTGGTCCTCGTTTCTCATTATTTTTATATTCTTTTGACGAATGGGGATTACACTTCAATGATGAATAAATAAGGAAATATGAGGCATTTTACCATTTGGGTAAGAACATAAATAAAAAAGGGAAACTAATGTAACAAAACAAAGGTTTTATGTCCCAAGTGAGAAACGAAAAGCATGCCACATGTTGGTTGGTTATTGCAATGGTTAAAATCTAAGAAACTACTGTTGGATGCAATGAATTAAGTCATAAGAACTATTACATTTGTCCCAATTTGATTGACACTTTACTATTAGAGTCCAACTATTTTTTTGACAATTCTATCCGAACTTCTCTAAATATTTTCTACTACAATAAGTTGCATTTAGTACTTCGATGTAGTTTTTAACTGTGAATTTTTTTTATTTAAACGAATTAAGGAATTGTTTTAGAATTAGATGTGTGACACACTCACTCTGAACCCCACAATTTTTTGAACGGAGGGTACACCATATAAGAACACAAACCCATATTCCAAAACAGAATAACCAAACACATGGTAAGCAGTAGTTAACATACCCAAGAAAGTTGTAAATGCAACATATTGTAGCTTTTGAAGATGAATTGGTATTTCATTTGCAATATCATGATGGATGATAGGGAAGAACGGAGGCCAATTTTTCTCCTCGAGAACAATGCCGGCTGCAATTCAAAGATGAACTAAACTTGTAAGATACTGCATAAATCACAGGACTGAAGTTCCACCTGAAATAGAGTATTCTACAAAACTTGTGAGTTACTCAGGGAAATCAGAGAATTGAAAGTTACATTTGAACATCAGAATTTTACTTCAAATGTGGAAAGAATGGTGGAGACTGTATGAGAAGACGAAAAAAAATAAAATCGCCCTAGATAAAAATCAGAAGGCTCAATCTGGAACATAGCAGAAGAAGTGTCCCGTTATCTTTCTTCCTTCGGATGTAATTAGAAACTATATATGGTGTTCTCACTTCATATTAGTAGTTTAAATTCTACAAGAATTGCAAGACTGAATATTCGTTGAAGATTAAAAAGAAGGATAGCAGAAGGATAAACACCAAAAAAAGAATTAAAGCAAAAGCAAAAAAGGCACCTCTTGCCGCAGCATCTTCTCTCCTTTTAAGATCCTGCAAAACATAGAGAAGTCAGATAAGTGAAAAATGACTTTGATACACCAGCAACAAAGAGCTGAGGTGCAAATAGAGGGAACTGATATTTTCAGCTCAAATAGATCAGTAACACTATAAAAAGGGTGGGACTATTAAACCCTTGTTCAAATTTTCATCATCCCATACCTGTTCTCTCCGCCGCAATTCATTCTCCTTAGACTGTAATTCTTTTTCTTTCTTTTTCAGGTCCTATAATTCAAACAAACTTAAATTAAGAAACCATCATAGATATTAATGTCAAATAAGATAAAGATGACAAATCAACACAGAGATTCAGAAAGTTCCAACTACCGAAGCATTGTCAAGAGGAATATCGATTGACGCATTGCGGTCATAGAAATCAGCTGGTTCTGGCGGAAGGGGTGAAAGTCTGGAGTTTGTTGCTGGAGGCACACTCCCAGACTGAAAAGTTGATAAAAGGGAAAATATTAAGATAATACATCAAGAGAAAGGCAAAAGATGTTATCCACATAGCAACTTCGAACACTCAACAAAAGAAGCAAATCCAATAATTTACCCCTATGTTCTTCCTTTCTACTTCACCTCCCCCGCCCCAAAAAGAGGGAGGTTACAAAGATAAAGCGACTAAGCATAAGCAAATACTAGTTCAGATACAATTGCAGTTTGTAAAAGTAGAAATATTGATCTATTTAC